GTCATATCCGTGGACTTTGCTCAGCCCTGTTATATGATCGAACCAACATTGCCAGCAACTATCTCTTTACGACTACTGCTTAGAAACTATCACTGGACGAAGAAACCATTATGAACGAGACAAAACATTTGACAAAAGTGAATTTGGCTCTTATTGGGTTTGGTAGAGCTGGTCAGTTCCACTTTAGAAATATATTTGCAGACTATCGTGTCCAGCTTAGTTGGATTGTGGAAGAAGATGTGGTTCGAGCCAATCAAGTTGTGCAAAATTATTCTCTCACATCAACAACTGTTATTAAAAGCAAGGAGATTGATCAAGTGTGGCGGGATGACAGGTAAGCCTCAGCCTTCATCATTCTGGCATGTCATTGTTTGACTGTGTCTGTATGTCTGTCATGCAAGCCTTTCATGCTCACATGAACAACAGATTATGTTCTAAGAATGTTTTCCCATGTCCCTGGACAAAAACGTGAACATCATTTTTCTGTGCACTTATGGGCATGATAGAAAATGCATTTAGGCGAGTATAAATATATATATTAGAGTACCCAAATAACATGCAGATGAAATTTATTAAAATAGAAAAACTAGTACAATGTTTTCAACAACGTAACTAAGTCACAAGATAACAAGTTGTTTGGCTTGAATAAGTAAGGTCATGATCCTTTTTCAGACGTATTTATCTTGCCCGTATCATCAACGATGAAAGGAAAAGGTATATTGAAGGGAAAATGTCTGTTGTCGTTTTTGTTGTCGTCGTCGTTGTTAATAATTGTTATTGTGTGCACAATAATTTTACTAATTCTATTCCAAACTTCATCAAACTTGGTCACCTAATTCATCAGCATAAAATCTTCCCTTAGTATGAACAACAGATGTCCTGTGTTAAAATATCATGTAAAAATTGAGAAAATCTGATAAAATATTTTGACTGTTTCTACTTGATTGATCACTGGTGATACACATTCAAAGGTCACTGTGGAAATATGCATTGTTGTATGTGTTCAATGAAGTAAATCAATCTTGTAATAATATCATTGGTAATTTATCTCCAAATCCAATGGGAATAGTAGACTGGGTTTCAATGCCAACTCATAGAGAGAGTTGTTGCACAGTCCGATACACATTTACCAATAAAATCTTAA